GCTTAGATCAGAATCAGTGAACTTCTTTGTGTAGAGTCCGGTCAAACCTCAAACAACTTATTAGGTCAAATGCTCGTACCAGCCATGTTTGTTTTTATTATTAGAGGACGCTTACGCGCGTAATCCTTCCTTATTTGGAATAATATGGTAGGATGAAAATACCCCATAAAATACCTTGTAACTTATGGGGTTGCAGTGACAGATGTATAATAAAGTACTATTATTCAAATTCGAACACACTGACATTTTGATTAAAATATAATTTTCCGAATCTACAACTACTTTGTTTTCATTTGGGGATCTACTTTCGCACAAGAAATGTGTAACATGAAACCGAGTCTGTGCGCAACTTAGCCAAAATAAAAAAGCATGATCATTTGAACATTGCTATTGCAAGTTACAATACTGGTAGGAGTTTTTGAGCTGTTTCTATGGTAACGGTGGGCCAGGATTTTTTTTCTTTAGATTTGATCACCTAACTAGAGTGAAGGTGTGACCTGCCAAGTAGGAACGAAAACGGTCCTGCCAAAAAAATCACAGAAGAATTAATACGTGAATACACTGGAAATCACACACAAGTGTTTTATCGCTAACAATATTGAGCTGTGAGGGTGTTGACTCTTAAAGTGTCATTTCGCTAGAGGATGGAATTTACAGTAACGATGTTTTAATTTTATATCTTGAAATGTCAAGCTAGTGTAGTTATGAATTCTACATATATAGACAATATAAAAATAAATTCATATTTCACAAACATTCCACAAAACTATCTAGCTTTTTGATCTCCGAATGGACGTTACTACAAGATGTTATCAATGACATAGAATCTCTAAACCAGAGTAAAAAAAGATTACGATACCGACCCTCTTATGGCGCGTTTAAGTCAAATTAACAAACAGATAGAAAAAATAATTACAACACACTTTTTGGGGTGAGCACTGTACATTTCTCTCTATATATATATTAAAATTTACAGAGGGAAATAGTCTGTTTTGACATTTGATTTATTTTCGGCAGCAATAATGACCAATATATGTAAAGAAAATGAGAATGGTGGTCATGGTAACTAGTGAACCATTAGGCATGTTTGCTATAAGCATATGCATCATATTTTTAAGTTTGAGTATATAAAATATAGACTCTACTTCTATTTCGTGTTATAATTCATTATTATATTAATGATTAATGAGAGCGAACATGTACTCTTAGTCGTCACATCTATTCGTGAACTGAATGTGTACGCGTCGTCCTTATTCAACATGTTACCAATGCTGTAAACTGATATATGTACCGCAATGGATGTTTGGATAAAATAAAAGGTGGGAGAAAGATGACACGATTTGTGCTTTCATGTTGGTGTAGAGCAGAACTGCGGAGCATTGTAAAGAATGAGCATCACCTTTCACGTGAAGCCGTCCATTACAATAACGAACAATGCACTGTGTACAAATAAACTATTCACAGGCGAACGCTTTGCAATATTGGCAATGATATCATTACTTTGTAAAGTACGGTAAGTAAACACTGTAAGTCAAGTCATGTTGCGTTTCTATCGTAGACACCCGCTTGGTAACCACATAGTGTGCGTCTCCCGCGTTTAACCGCTGATATACGCAGACACATGGACAAGTGGTGCATCGGATGACGCCATCACTCGACGCAGACCGGACACGATAACATACTCCGAGCTTGCGGATCTATCATATCTTACCAAAAAAATATGACGGATACGCCAGAATTACTTCACACTGTGTAAACGGATAAGCAACAGCCATGGCTGTCGTTGGAAATTTAACAATTACGCAGTTACTGGTACTACAAATGAAAGCTCAAGCAACGCTCAAAGAAGCCATCAGAAATGAGCGATCGAAACGTTGGGAACAGGTGAGAAAATAACGTTAGTATTTTACAACGATGTCGATAGCTTACGCATTATTGTACGATTTCAGATCTGCCCGTTATATTAAAAGGGGGGAGATCAAATTTATATTCTACAACCATGAATGTGTCTACGAGAGTTGAAACATGCTTTAGTCAGACTTTAAACAATAACTTCGCTCCATGGTAACCAGAAACTGAATGCGGAATTAAGTAAAAAGCAATGAAGATAGACAGTTTTAATCAAATTTCAAGCGTTGCTAAATTAACCGTGTAGATTCTTTTCTATGAAGGTCAAATTCACGTAGTGGTATGTATGAGGTTGGTTAATACAATCATTCATTCTATAGCGTTGCTTCAGTTACGCCAAGTTAATAGACTACGATATTTCATCTCGATTGGGTACCCCTGCAACCCGGGCTTCAAACACGGAGAGTTTTAATACGCGACGTTCGACAGCAAATCATGTCACCTCGGTAAATTATGAATGTTATTTCTGGCTAAATTATAGGATTATATTCTAATAATTATTACATAAAGGCAAAACATAATTACAGGTTATTATCGTTTCTTTTAAAAAATTTAGCTATCAACTTGTATGTTTATTGATATACACCTTTACGCACATATACTATTATTTTAAATTATAAAACAGGTATGTTGAAAGTAGGCGTAATAACTATATGCGAGTGTGATGAATGACTTAATTAACCTTGAATTATCGCCTTTGTGTTCCATTTCAGACATTGAATTTCATGCCACATTCTCGCAACTAACACAATAAACATGAAATATACAAATCGATATTGAACACGTACCATTGTGACCCCTGTTCTCAGTTCATAATAGTATATATTACATTGTACGATCAAATCGAAAATTGTGTGTTCATCTGTCACTGACAAGTCTCCACAGCAACGGCGACGTGATCTGAATACGTTTCCATGTCAATACATAGTTGTATGACTAATATGAGAGGTGACTGAATT